AAGAGAAAGGAAAAATTGAAATTGCATCATATGACCCCTTTAAGCACTTTGTCTAAGTTTATATTTGTAGCTTAATGGCCTTTAAGTGAATGGCTTCCATTTGTTTTCCCTTTTTACCGTCACCTAAAACTTAACTGTTGTAAATTAAACCACTAGCTGATCCACAGCAGTTTTTCTCAGTTTGACACTAGCTCTGTTCCAAACCCTAGTGACCTGCCTCTACAGACAGCATTTTAGGTGCTGCAGGGATTCACTAACTTTTTTTGTCAGTCAAACCTCTTTTCCCTGAAATATTTACTTTGAGTGTCTCTGAGTTTTTAAGTTAATATTTCAATATATTTTCAATAACTTTTTAGTATTTTAAAATTATTTAAATATTATTTTTAATTTTTGTTTATTATGTAATTAAATATTACATTTTACAACCTACCTCCAAGTATACAGGACATATGACTTTGGCCCTGCAATATTTTAGTATAATTGTGATTAATATTCTGAATTGTTTCTTTATTTCTATATTTCCCATTTTCATTTGAATTAGTTAAAGTGTAAGTAATTTTGTTGTGTATTCTTTTAGTTATTTTTAATATACTGTATTTCATTTTTATTTCAGTTTTAGTTATTTTAGTACAAGTTAAACTAAATTAAAATGAGAAATGTTACTTTGGCAAGCTAAAAAAAGTTTGTTTTTTATACTTTACTTTTTATTTCAGTTAATGTTTGTTTTATTTTAAGTAAATATATGTTTTATGTTTAACTACAATAACCCTGTCTATAAATCTATATGATTACTGTTATTATTTGTTACCGATTGTATTGTCCACACCTAGTTTTAATGTAAATATATGAACAGCTTTTGATATCTGATATTTCTATATTTGTCTATAGACAATAAAAAGGTGAATAAATAGACTTACATTGAGCAAGGGCCCAAAATCATATAATGTTATTAATATAACATATAATTTTAGTTCTAGCAATTCTGGTATGATTTTGTCATTTTATTATTTTATTTTATTTTTAGCTTACATTTTAGTAGTAATACTTGTGTTCTTTTAGAATAATTTATATACTATTATGGTATCTATTAACATTTTGAAGTAGCTTTTATTTTCATATTTTTAGTTTTTATCTTAATCTTAGTTTAGTAATTTTGTAGTGTGCTTTTTGTCATTTTATTATTATTATTATTATTAATAATTTTTTTACATTTTTTAATTACATTTATTTTTAGCTTTCATTGTAATTCAGTTCAGCCAAGGCATGGCAGCCCTTTTCATTTCATATTTGCATATGATTTTATTTGCGATTTATTTCAAAGAATGAAAAGATTTTTTTAATACTTTTAGTTAATGATAAACCTGTTTGGATCTATAGAGTAGAACTGCCAGATCCGGCCGCCAGATGGCGCTGTTCACCAGCGCTGTGAGCTCCAGCTGTCTTGTTGACCTAGCCTACATTACCCAAGAGCAGCACAACAATCTTCTCCCACACTCATCTCCTGATGCTTTCTCTGTGACGTGACCACACTGCTGTCCGATCCCACGGAAAACCGCTGTCTGGTGCCCAGAAAAGAGCAAAACCAGAAGCCAGTGTGTGCAAAAGTGCTGAGGCATCCGTCAAAAGACTGGTGTTTGTTGAGGTCTTTTGAAATGTCATCCTGCAGGCCACTTTGAGGAACTGAGACGCTCTCAGCAGTGGGCAGGAAACACAACACCCACCTCGCACCTGCGCCCGAGCCGACAGGAAATGACCCGCCCAGACAGAACAGCATCTCGGACACTCGCAGGAACAAACAGCATCCCTCTTTCTCTCACTCAGCCTCTCTCATACAAGAAAGGCCAATTCAGCCTGTTCAGGGAGTCTGGGTTTATGTCAAACATCAGCGCTCGCAGGGCATGAAATCCCAACGGTTTGAGTGACTAACTCATTGACTGT